ACCTAACAAAAATTTATCACAATGGTATGGGTTAATGAATTGTTGTATTTGTTTGAATTGACTTAGTCTTTTAGCAATTTTCATAGGCTGAAAAGGACCTTACTTTCAAGTTTTCATCCAACATAATGTATGAGATTTATCTAAACTAGGCGTTCATATGTTGTGGTCTACACTCTACATGTACAAATATACATTATAGGAACAACATCAAGCTTTATATTTTATGAGTCTAAAAGGGATGAATGTTTAACTCTTGAGTGATTATTCAAAGTATTAAGTATGTGTATATATAAGATATATGGCTAATTATTTATCTGGTTAATTTGGTTTGGATGGTTTGGAATGTATGAAACCAAACCAAATCACCTAAACCAAACAAGCTAAGAACTTTAACCAAACCAAACCAATTATCCAAATTAACCAAACCAAATTATCCAAATAGTACTGGTTAAAACGGTTACCATGGTAACCACACCGTTTAAACACCCCTACTGACAACCCGATTTGTGAACCATTGGGGATGGCAAGGGATTTGAAAGTAGAGATAGGAACTTTCGTGTTCTCCCTCGACTTCATAGTACTCGATATGAGCAGGGACGATAAAGACTATATCCTCTTTGGGAGACCCTTCTTAGACACTTTCGGTGCATTGATTGATGTTCATAAGCATCAAATTATGATGAGAATTGACAATGCAGAGTATACTATCCAGATGATTACTCCAGAAGTCAAGAAGGAGGAATACGATCGACAATCAAAGATCTACCATCGTAGAATCTGATTGTGACTCCTCAGAAACTCATATGCCCGACTATGGAAAAGGTTTCGACTAGACACTTCCAATCGATATGGAAAAAGAGCTCGAATTCCACACTAGGGAATGCAACAAGGGAAATTTGCTATCCCCGGATAGCAAGCGAGAGTTCAAGGAGATGATGTGTATTTTACGTCAATATTTACGAGTCACCTACGACTCTCAACTTTGCATCCGATCCATCCCTCGATTCACCTGTCTTGGATGATCACTTTGGGGAATGGCCCCTAGACCTTTATTGGTCTAATCAATAGAATAGGACACTAGCGATACCTAGCTCAAAGGCATTAAAGAGAGGGCTTTACTTGGGAGGCAACCCATCTCTTGTCTAACTTAAAGTCACTAAAGAAATCATTGGTTTCCACATGCATCTTCACAACAGCTTCGTTGTTTTTTACCCTACTAATATCCTTCATTCGAATCCTTGTTTATGCATAAGCGATACCATGTGTTTGCTTGCATTTCAGACCTTTGAGCTTCATATGCCCATTTGACGTGTACTCGTAATGTGTTGGCTCTTATTCTTTCCTCGCCATATTTTTAGAGTTTACCCTTATTGGTGTATGTCGCTATGGAGTTGGGAAGGGTAAACATAGTGGAGAGTGACCACTTGGTGGAGTGATTGATTGTTTTGTGTATATAGATCGAGGTTCGAGCCCTATACATGTTCCATGACACATTTTAAGCATGTGTAGATGTCTTGATAGACATTGGTTTAAACTTTCAAATCTAAGCACCTGTATCGCTTCGACATGGAATGAACTAAAGTGTGGGGTAATCGATTGGGCATCACCTTATGTGACTTTCTCTTCACAATCGAATCACGTTGATACATGATGGTATCTTAGCAAGCCCTATCATTCCACTCTTCGACTTTGGGGAGTGAGGGATTCGCCATTTCACCATCATACATTTCAATGCCACTATGGCCTTGTCTTTGGAAAGTCACCTAGCATTGTCGCTCTCTACTCTTTTTGAGTTGGATTGGATTGCCTAGAGAGAGCCATTTGGGAGAACCTCTTAGGTTTTGCCAGTAGAAGAGGAGGTGACACACTTGCTCTCTCCGTTTTACACTTTCTTTTGCTCGTAAAAACCAAACATCAAAGGAACTAGCCGGTTAGACTGGATTCTCTAAATTATGGTAACTTCGTTCTACTTTTTTCCTACCACCTTGTGAGGTCCAATGAGGACATTGTTCCATTTAAAGTGTGGGGTGGGTTTTAGGTAGACTGGTGTTCATTCGATATACCATGTTCTGATTGTTCATGCATATGGGAAAGGGTGCTTCATACCTAAACATGTAAAAATTACATGAACCTCACTTTGGAGGAAAAATTGCTGCGGGTAACTGCCTTTTCACGCCCGTGAGTGTCTTCACGGCCAAGGATTTGGCTCAATTCCTCAAATTGGGAATTCCCATCCTATTTTTCACGGTTTGGCTCACAACCGTGAGCCGACCCTTGGGAAGCATGGGACGACCCTCCAAAGGCAATCACATGCGTATTATGTTACGAGGAATAAATTTTCTGTGTGTATTTTCGCAGTGAGATTTTGCCTCGTGTCATGGGCTTGGTGTCTGATGTCAAGGGCCAAACGTGGAATGTCACGGTCTAGGCCATGAATTCTAACTCCTGACGGGACTTTTGAGTCTCGGTCACCATTGTCTCATTTTGGCCTCCAAATGTACCAAAACTCGCTCATATGCCATATCCACGTACTTGTACCTGAAATATGACAAAAGAAGTACAACCTAGCGTAAAATAGACGAAGGAACGACCAAAACAAAGCCAAACAATTAAGAAATGAGCATCTAAAACATGTATGATTATGCACTAATCACTTGCCATATTCAAAATTACCCAAAGTCGACTTAGTGGGATATTCCTTTGTTAGATATCATATTTATCCACATAATTGTTGATAACGTATAATTTTGATCCACACAATTGTCGACCACAGACACATTTGTCTATATGTAGAAATGTTGGTCATTTCATGGCGATCCATAAAACAAACTATAACAGTCACATCTTCTAATCATGCAAAAAAGTAGTAGTACATGAGGCAAGTAGTTAACATGTTTGGTTGAGATCCATAATTAAAAACATCAAAGAGACCTGTGGCAGTTCTCTTTGGGTGTGTTTGGATAGAATGATTTGAATTTGGTATTTGTGATTTGGATTTTTAAATGTCAAATCATTTATTTGAATATTAATAACATTTGATATTTGGATTTGTACCAAATTCACAGGGTGATTTCCAAATACATGTCTAGTGTATTACTCGTCAACTTTAAATAAATTTCAACAACTAGTGTTTTGAATCTCTCATAACAAACGACTGGACCTATTTGTAAAATTTTAGGTACTATAGTGTGAGACAAAACATACAAAGTACCAAAACTTAATTTTACCACCAAATTTCTTGACCTTTTGTAAAATGTTAATTGTAGGTACTAAATAGTAAAAAAAAAAATTTGGGCACCAAAATGTAATTTACCAAAATTTGTAGTAAGTGACCTAGAAAATTCAAAATTCAAATAAAAAATCATAAAATTTGAAATACAAACAAATTACAAATGAGTATCCAAACAAAGAATTTGAATTACATGTATTTCAAATGTTAGTATTTCAAATAACTTTATTTCAAAAAAATTACATTTGAAATACATCTATCCAAGTAGAGACGATTCCAACTATCATATATGAGGATAAAGCAACATGTATCACAAAATTGACGTAAGGATATATAACAGGGGATAGAAATAAACATATTTTGTCAATTTTTTATATTCACTGGTCATCATAAGAAGATTGTTACCATAAATATACTTAAGATTCATTAATTTGATAATATGTTAGATTTATTAATACAAAAAATCACTTCCTATTCCATACACCAGATCAATGCGCGAGAGACTTAATTGTATTTAGCGATGTATCTACTACTCACGCCTCTGTTCACACTTATTATTCGTAATTTGATATATTTTGACGAATCAGAATCGTCGATTATTAGTTCGAGATTAAATGAATCTTATGATTTGGATTATATAATTAGGGATTGAGGTTCAGCCATTATAGATTAGGGTATATATAGTATCATTCCTCAATTTCAGTTAATTTTTTATTTAAGTCGCAAAACTCGATGGGCGTATATGCCAAGCTTGATAGGGTTGCAAATGAGCCGAGTCGAGTCTAGTTTTACCCCAGCCTTAGTTTGGCTCATTAATAAACGAGTTGAGCTGGAGTTCAGCTCGTTTATTAATTAGTCGAGTCGAGTTCGAGCTAGCTTACTTACTAAATAATGTCATTTTGTAAGTCATGTTTGATGCATGTGATTAACGTTAAGATGAAAAATGTTAAGTGTTCAATATTAACTAATCTCATGTTATACTTTGTGGTATCATATTATTGAGTTAATAAATTTTAACTAGTCAAAATTGTGTTATTACATAGTATCGAAGCAATCTATGTTACATAATTTCTTTTTAAAATTAAATAAGACATATTTGCTCACATAATCTACTTGTTAAATTTCATATATGGCGAGATACATAATCTGACAATCCTAATTGTGTTATTACATAGTATCGAAGCCATCTATGGTACATAATTTCTTTTCAAAATCAACTAAGATATATGTGCTCACATAATCTACGTGTTAAACTTCATAAATGGTGAAATATATAATTTCACAATCCTATAAGTTATCAAAATCAAACTCATATAGATCGATTCGCTTATAAGTCAATAATCGAGTTGGCTCTCTAGCCACAATGTTTAGAGTTGAGACATCTCGTGAGCTCTAAACGAGCCAACTCCCGAGTTGAGCTCAACAAACCACCAAGTCGAGCTAGCTCGTGAGCTGCAGAAGACTTAGCTCAACCTCGACTCGTTAGTAAACGAGTCAAGTTTCGGACGAATTTTTCCCGAGTCGACCGTTGAACCACTCGCTAGCAGCTCGGCTCATTTGCACCCCGAAATATCTGTTGATCAAATACATCTAAACAAATTAAGTATATTCATAATAAGCTATTTGTGTTTGGATGTAAGTTTAAACTTCTTTAAAATGGACTTTCCATCACTCATGTTGTCTTCACTTAGCATTGGGATAATAAACAAGGCGCTTTCATTAATTTGATGATGTATGTGTTCTTCAAGGATAGATCAACATTGCGAATTTGGAAACTGATAGTTGGTTTTAGAGCTTCTATATATATGTCTCCAACACTGTACTCTTTTGTATAAACACAAAATTTCTTTTTTACCAGCATATAAAATCAGCAGAATTTAAAACTAAACTCGACAATAATTGTTCCAAATAAAATCAGAAATACCCCATCATCACCAAAAACCTTAATAATTCCCCTTTACCGCTTCAGTGGTGAGCCCAAACCCAAAGGGGAACAGCGGGTCATAATGTTTATCCCCAACATTCATAGGCAGCTGGTCGACACTCTTGAACCAAGTCCTGGGGAGCTTCCCAGTGAAGCCATAATCCCCAAACAAAGCATCCGTCACACCTTGACCTTCAGTTCCAGGGAGCCAAGCCGCAATCAGGCCGTCCATGGAGTCAACGTAAGGCTCCATCACGACAGGACGGCCAGAGATCAAGACGACGACGCATTTCACCGATCCGCAGACGTTCTGGATGGTTGCCAGGCCGGGATCGGGTATGGTCAGGTTGAGGCTGTCGCCTGCTGTTTCGGCATAGGGAGGTTCGCCTACCACGACAATGGCGTATGAGAAGTTGTTGGACTTGACGTAGTCTGCTGCTGGGTTCTCTTGGAACATGACTTGTGTGGTTGGATCGACTGCGCCCTTTATGGCTGTAAGGATTGTGGTTCCTGCAGTTAGAAATACAGGGGACAATTGAATTGAGTTCGTACACTTTCATCTTTACGTTCATTCGATTACTAAAGGAATTGAATTCAAACAAACCCTAGAGCTGAAAAGACTGTGTACCAGAGGTGCGATCGTTGCCGGTGAATCCCTGCCATTCGATGGACCATCCACCGCACTGGTACCCAAGATTGTCCGCATGGGAACCGGCTACCAGTATCTTGGAAGCCTTCTTGGGGAGTGGAAGGATTGGCTGCTTGCTATCTTTCCCATTCTTCAACAGCACCAGTGATTTCCTCGCAGCTTCTCTGGCCAATTGTCTGTGCTCCTGTCAAAGCGAATAAGAATTCATCGTGAAGTAGTTGCGATTTGAATACTCGGTCATTGATTGATAGAACTTGGCAGAGAATGAGAGTGCTTACTTGCTTGCCTAGCTCGTCGACCATGCTATCATCAGCCATTGGATTCTCAAATAGACCCATTGCGTACTTAACCCTCAGAATCCTGCTTACTGCATCGTCGATTCGGCTCATTGGTATGACCCCTTTGTTCACGAGTAGCGTTAGATCGTCGATAAATTCTGTGTAGTTTAGTGGAACCATCACCTGCAATTGAGAGCATCATCAAACACAAGCTGCTAAACAGGGCAGCATATATGAAATGAGACCAACATGCTAGTAATTACCATGTCAATTCCAGCAGCAACTGCTTTCTCTACGGAGTAGGTGTAGTTAGCGTGTGGCGGGCTGGTAATCCGATCAATTCCTTGCCAGTCTGAGATCACAAAACCCTGAACAACACAACACAAACACACAATCATCAGTTCAGCAGCTTAATTGGCCAAAAAAAACACACAGCTCTATTGAGCTTATAATGAAGAAGCAGGGGGTTAGTTTGTAGCATTTTACCCTGAAGTTGAGGGTGCCCTTGAGGTAGCCGGTGATCATGTGCTGGTTGGCGTGCATCTTGACGCCGTTCCAGCTCGAATACGAGATCATGACGGTGGAGACCCCTTTGATTATGGAGGTGAAATATCCTGGCATGTGGATCTTCCTCAGCCCGTTCCAGTCGATGATGGTGTTGTTCTCGTTGATCCCTTTCACCGTCCCGCCGTCACCCACAAAGTGCTTGGCGCAGGCCGCCACGTTCTTCCTGTGTAAAATTGAATTCAAAGAGAATGTGATAAATCCATGAAATAATGTGAACTCCGTAACGTTACATCCTATCATCCAAGCCACTTGATCAGTTGCTTAATAAATATCAAAACTACTGGTCAAAGAAAAGAAAGATTAAACTAGTAGATGGGAAATTAGTGCCCAAAACAATGGTCCATTATCTTCTCCAACCTAAAATCGTGCATCCAACAATAAGCACAAAATGTACACGCATTCATCATTATAGTTTTGCTGAATGGTAAAAATGGCAAGTGGGCAATTTATGGTGGAGGGTTATCACTTATCAGTAAGTATGAAGCAATTGACTGAACTTGAACATCTTAATTCAATTTCAAGAGTGTCACCAAATGGTTTCTCCTTCTCCACTTACTTCCCAGCAACAAAAGGAACTCCCTTGGGAGAATTGGCAGGAATGTCTCCTTGCAGCCCCGGGATGAGCTCTGTCATCGCCTTCACTATGTCAGGATCCTCGCTGTAACTCTCGTAGCACCGTCCCCATCTCGGATCTCTGCATACCTACAAAAACCCAAATTCCTTCTCTTGTTAATCGATCATTCTGACGACGTTACGACATGTGAGACCGACAAACAAACTACTGACGAGATTCAACGAGTCAAGAAACAATTTTCATGCTTTTAACTCACCGCGATACAGGGCGCAAAGGCATACGGAATTCCGGTGGCTCTCATTTCAAGCGCCGTCGCCGCTCCAATCCTCTTCACCAGCGGCGGCTCCCTGGTAGCTCCGAGGCCGATATTGTGAGGGAAAATGGTGGCGTTGTACACATTGTTGTGACCGTGAACGGCGTCGATCCCGTAAATCATCGGAATCGCAAGCCTGGTCGACATAGCGCCGGTTTGGAACTCGTTGACCATGTTGATCCACGTCTCCGGCGAAGCTTTCTGACCAGGGACGCTTCCTCCTCCGCTCAGTATACTCCCTGCACTCTCACCATAAAGTTGCAATCTTTTGTTAAAAAACAGAGCAAAAACAGGGCTTGGTGAAATTTACTCTTTCTGTTTTCTTTCTTTCTTACCGATGAAGTAGTTCTTCATGACGTCAGCCGAGGCGACGGAGCGATCAATCTGAACCATCTGGCCGATTTTCTCCGGCAATGTCATCCGACCCACCAAGTCCTTGATTCGGTCCTCGACCGGCTTGCTCGAGTCTTTGTACAGCAGGTACTCTGCATCCGCCGCCGCCAAAAACAGAGCAAGTAGTAGTGTTCCGAGCAGCAGAATCGGATTCTGCTTCTTCCTTGTGGTACCCATTCGGATTATTCCCACCGTGACGCTGCGGCCGGCACTGGGATTCTGAAAATTCAAGAAATCAGAAAATTATATATGGTTTGTTGTAAGCAGGTGAAATACAACGCCTGAAGACGGCGGAAAATGCATAGATAGGGAAATGCAGCGTTTCGAAATGGAAGAATAGGTTAAACATGAAACATACAGATACAAGCACGGGCGAGGTGAAGATGTTCACGGGGTGGAAAGAAATGTTTGTTGTTTGTCTTTCTCTTTTCTCAGGAAACAAACAGGGGAGGTGAAGATGTGTATATATATATGAATGAGAAACAGAGGAGCGACGGAAAATTACAGAGAAAACGGCCAAAACGAGAATCGAGGGACTGGAGCAGAGGGTTTAGAGAAAGTTAAGGGAAGGACTTGATGGATGGCATGGGAGGAAGAGGGAGAGGGAGGGGTTGCTTCCAAGACATGGGATTGAGGTTGTTGATTGCACGAACCCACGTATATATATTGATCCATCTTGTTTATTTCCATTGCTGTTTATTTGTCAATATGATTATATTTATTGGGGGGTTTGAATCGGTAATCATCCGCTACTGTGTTTCTTCACATTGATTCCTCTTTTGTTTTGTTTTGTGTTCCTTTCCCCATTGCGGTGATTTGTTTTCAATTTTTGTTGGTAGAAATTTGTTTTCAATTTGTTCCAGACATGGTTGTCACGCTGGCCGGCGTGCCACCGGTTGTACCTGGTTCAACCGGTACCGGTCATAAAACCGGCGTAACACTACCGGTATGATCGACATGATCGATATACGAATCTCTAAATAAAATAACGTTATTTTAGTGAATTTAATTGTTAAAAATTATTTTATTATTTATTTTATGAGTATAGAAGTTAAATATTGATGTTATTTGTTGGATTCAAGTATAAATGTTTAGGTATCGACGTTAAGTGTCATGTTTAAATATGAATATTTATAACTTTATTTGTAAGAATGACCGGCATGAACCGGCACAAACCAGTATGTACCATCGGTCGAACCATTCCACTTGCTAAACCGACACACTGGCATAAACCGGTTTGACAACCTTGGTAGGAGATCTTATATTTTTCCAACAAAGTAAAAGGAAAATTTGTTATTAGAAATTAATTAGAAAGACAACCAACGTTTGTATGAGTCGGTTGTATGAATTATTTTGTACCAAAAAATATGATTTAATTGAGTCATTTGATAATAAATTACTCGTTTGGTAGTAGAAAAGAGAATGAAACATTTGGTTCCAAACTTCCAATGAAATCTCCAAATGAGTCCCTCATTAGCCATTTGTAATTAACTCGTTGGCTTCTTGGCTACTTTCCAATAATGACATTGCCTTTTTTTTCCATAAACTCAATACTATAGCAATATTAACTCTTCTCTATTTTGCCTTCATAAACGCAAAACTTTTCATTTGTTAATACTTTCCAATTGCTTTTAATTTTGTTAATAATATAGTCATTCTATTTTAGGTAAATACAATATAATAACTAAATTTTTATTTTAAACAAAATAATAATCAAATCTTTTGGAAACCAATTACTTAGTGAAAATCCATATATATCTACATAGCAAAGTCACATGTTTAACTTTATATCATATCACCAAAAAATAATCTAGCTCATTCAAAATTATATCACGTCAGAGTCAACTAGACGAAAAATTGACCGTTTGACTATTAAAAAATATAATTAGTAAATGTTTTTTACATTAGCGATTATGGCTACTATGTAGTCTGGGCCTCCTTGATCCAGGATACCAGGGGGATCCTTTCACCTGGACGAACAAGCGGATGGGATCGGCGTGTATTCGAGAACGCTTAGACAGAGCCCTCTGCTCCCAGTCCTGGCTGGACCGTTTTCCTAATACCCTGGTCAAACACTTTACGGACCAGGGATCGGATCATCGGGCGCTCTTACTTTCCGATAAGCCTTATGTCCGCAATAGTCGGCCGCTATTCAGGTTTGACGCGCGCTGGGCAGATAATCCGGAAGTAAGAGCCATGGTGACCTATGTCTGGCAGGAAGAGGTCCAAGGAACCCCCATGTTTCGTCTTTGGGAGTGCCTCAAGAAACTTCGCCATTTGCTGTATGACTGGAGCAGAGCTGGAACAACCAATTCTTTAAGGAATATCAAGACTTTGCAAAATGAGATCGATCAACTCAAACAGGTCCATCCCATTAATTGGGATGAGGTCCGTACTCTTGAGATTGAACTAAATCGGCAATGGGAAGCGGAGGAAGAATATTGGCAGCAAAAGTCCAGGGTCCGTTGGCTTAAGAAGGGCGATCAAAATTCATCGTATTTTCATACGGTGACAAGGACCCGCCGGAAACGGAACTTTGTGAGTGGGCTTAGGGACGATGATGGAGAGTGGGTCACTGATGAGAAAGGGAAAGCGGACATTGCTACTAAGTTTTATCAAACCCTCTTCACTTCCGAGAATAGCGTTCAGGATATGCATGGGCGCATTGCTAGTCTGCCGATTGCCCAAAGTGTAACGCCCATCATGAATGAGGCTTTAACGGCTGCTGTGCTTCCAGATGAGGTTCGGAAAACGGTGTTTGCTATGGGGTCTAAGCAAGCCCCTGGGTCAGATGGTTTCACTGGGAAATTTTTCAAGGCCTACTGGGATATTGTGGGACCCTCAGTAATTGATGCAGTCGTTTCTTTCTTTACGTCTGGCCGAATGCTTCGCAGTTTTAACCACACATGGCTCACATTAATACCGAAAGTGGATGTTGTTGAGACAATGAGGCAGCTGCGTCCCATCAGCTTATGCCAATTTGTGTACAAAATTATCACCAAAATTCTGGCTGAACGCTTGTCCATGTTTCTACCTCAGTTGGTCTCGGAAGGACAGAATGGTTTTATCAAAGAGCGTCAAATAGTGGATAATATCCTACTTGGGCATGAGCTCATGCATTATTTGAAAACTAAAACTCGGGGAAAGAAAGGGTTCATGGCTCTAAAGGTTGACATGGAAAAGGCCTATGATAGAGTCGAATGGCCGTTTCTCCTTCAGGTTTTGGTTAAAATGGGCTTCAGCTCTACCTGGATAGGATGGATTAGGGAGTGCCTCGTGTCTGCTTCTTTCTCTGTTATGATGAATGGCACTCCATCGGGGTATTTTTCCCCTTCCAGAGGATTGCGACAAGGGGATCCTTTGTCTCCCCTTCTTTTTGTGCTGTGTACTGAGGGATTTGCAGCTCTTCTCAAGAAGGCGATTTCGGAAAAGAGGTTGGCCGGGATTAAAGTGGCTCCGCGTGCGCCCAGATTGTCACATTTATTTTTTGCTGACGACTCCTATCTGTTCCTACGCGGCACCCTTCAAGAATGCGAGAACCTTATTGAGGTCCTCAATGAATATGAGGAATTAAGTGGCCAGAGGGTGAATCTCGCGAAATCGGCAGTGTGTTTCAGTAGGAATATTGTGCAGCAAGATCAAGAATTCTTGGCGGCAATCCTGGGGGTGGGGGCAGTAGGAGTTCATGATAAATATCTCGGTCTTCCGTCTTTGATTGCCCGGTCTAAGATGGAGACGTTCCGTTATTTGGAAACAAAGTTGTTGGAGCGACTCCAGGGATGGAAATAGAGGACGCTTTCGTGGGCAGCCAAGGAGACGCTTATCAAATCTATTGCTCTGGCATTGCCGTTACATGTGATGTCCTGTTTCAAGCTCCCCTTGTCCCTGTGTCGCCTCTTAGATAGGCATGTAGCCCGGTTTTGGTGGGGGGAGAATGAAGGACATTCAAAGGTGCGATGGATGTCTTGGCGAGACATGTGCAGGAGTAAGCATGATGGGGGGATGGGTTTCCGCCGATTTGAGCATTTTAATCAGGCCCTTTTGGCTAAGATTGGGTGGCGTATTCTCAGTGAGCCCAGCTCTTTGCTGGCCCAAGTCTATCGGGGTAAATACTTTCCCAATGGCCATTTTCTTTCTGCGAAAGCTCGATCTAGGCCATCGTGGGGTTGGCAGAGTATCCTGTTTGGCCGGCAGTTGTTAGAGATGGGTCTACGATGACAGGTGGGGAATGGGCGTTCAGTTTCTATGCTCCACTCTACCTGGGTCCCTGAGTTTCAGCTAGAGCCACTACGATATAATCCTCAGGTTTTGCCAGTCGGGGGTGATCCTCTGGTAGCGGAGCTCATTTTCCAAGGGGAAGGGCGCTGGTGTGATCAGAAGCTCAATCAGTGGTTTGACCCTGTCACATGTCGTAGAATTAAAGCTATCCCGCTTCCCCGAGAAAATGTTGAGGATAAGCTCATTTGGCATGATACAGTGGATGGGGAATTCTCGGTCAAATCGACTTATCATCTGGCTGTCTCTTTGGAGAAAAGAAGGGGGAGGTGGAAGGCGACGGTGGATTGGATGGATAGGGCAAGTTGGATACGGCTATGGGAGGCCAATATTCCGCCAAAGTTGAAAGTTTTTGTTTGGCAAATCTTCAACCGAATTTTGCCGACCACGGAGGCTCTTCTTAGTCGCCACGTCCCTGTCCTGAATCGGTGTCCGGTTTGTTGGGGAGGGTCTGAAACCTTAGAGCATCTTTTTTTGGATTGTCCGCTTGCGCGTGCCCTATGGGGGGCGGCAGGGTTGGAACACCTGGGGGAGGCTTTGCCACGACATACTTTTCCTTTGTTTCTTAAAAAGTTGCTGGCTTTGGTTTCCCAACCGTCGCTGTGGATGGCCATTATTGCGGTTCTTTGGCGGATTTGGAAGTCCCGAAACTGGGTGGTGTTTGAAGGTAAACAGTTTGGGCTCCCGGCCCTTATGCGACAATTTTCGCAGCAGATTGAGGAATGGGCGCGCCTCCCGGTGGAAGGTATTTCCCTCAGCCCAGTCGGGGGGGACCATGGGGATCATAGGATGGAGTCAGTTGATTTTGTCTGTGGTTGGGACGGGGCTACAAGGGGGGGTTCTCACTCCGCTGGTGGTATAGTGCTTATGACTCCTTCTAGGGTTGTCCTTAGGGCTAGTGGGGTCCATTTCCCTGTCATAGATGATCCGGCAATAGTAGAGTT